AAGAAAGAAAGAAAGAAAGAAAGAAAGAAAGAAAGAAAGAAAGAAAGAAAGAAAGAAAGAAAGAAAGAAAGAAAGAAAAGAAAGAAGGAAGGAAGGAAGGAAGGAAGGAAGGAAGGAAGGAAGGAAGGAAGGAAGGAAGGAAGGAAGGACTAGCAACAAATGTAATCCATTAGATCTGCTGCAATAAAGCTTGTAAAATCATTGGTGAAAACACACATTACTAGATTAAGATCTGGTAATTATAAAATGGAGACAAGAAAAACCCACATATTCACCTCCTGCAAACATAATCAATCACCCTTGGTAGTCAACAGCTCTGTCTAAGAACGTACCTTTTCCAACTCTGAGGCGATAGTGTTTGTAAGCAAGGACAGCATATTTTGAAAAGCTTTTTTTATGCAGGCTTTTACTTTCTCAAAATACTGCACAGATATCCATTTTGAAGAACAAACTGACATGACTTCCGAAAGCTGCTTGTCCTGTGAATCACCAACACATTCCAACAGGGTGTCCCTCAGGAGGAAGTCAAGCACAGTGAGGATGTCTTCCTCATACTGATGAACTTCCAGTTGCGTCCGCTCGGCCTCTTGCAGAGTCCACTCTCTGCGACTCTTCTCCAGATGTGCCTGGACTTCTGTCTCCTTCTGAAGAAGTAGTTCGGTTTTCTGCTTCACAAAGTCCTCTTTAGCTGCCACCAGGACCTCGTTGATTTTATTTCGATGATCGTCTAAAAACTGCCGATAATCTTCCTCGTTTTGTTCTTGAATCTTGTGGATTTCTTCTTGTTTTTCTTTGTTCCATTCAGTTCGGGCCTTAGCCAACTCAGCTCTGACTATCACAGGGACTTCCTCATCCTTTAACTCCAGTTCCTTTTGGAGAGAGTGAATTTTCTCTTCTAGTTCCTTGACAGGCATTACACTTGACTTCGTATTTTCAAGCTCACTTTTCCATTTCTCTTTAGCTTCAGAGATTGCAAGTGACAGCTAAAAGATACAGCACCACAGATTTGAAAGTATCTGACAACTTTATTATCCACAAATCCTAAGTACCTGGGCTGACCTCCCAACCACACAAGCCACTTAAAATAAAATTTTAAAAAAAGGGGAAAAATAAATCTAGATGTGACATTCTGTAACATATGCTTATCCTAAAGTATCTTCTCTATTTTATTTTAGTGTGTGTGCATGTGTGTATGTATGTGAAAGAGAGAGAGAAAGAGTTGTATGTCTGTGTCATGTGCTAATGTGTGCTGTGAAGGAGCCAGAGGCTGACACTGGGACTCCCTTCTCTATCATGCTCCATCTTATTTTTCAGAGAGAAGTCTCTCACTTCACCTGGAAACTCATCATTCCCACTAGACTGGCTGGCCAGCAAGCCCTTGCTCCTGCCATCTCCAGCGCAGCCCAGCACCGGGGTCACAGGTGCACATGCACGGCTTACGCAGCTCTGAGGCTCCAAACTCAGACCCTCACGCTAGCACAGCGAGCAGAGCACTCAACCCACGGAGGCATGCACAATCCCCCTGCCTCAGCTTCTCGAGCGCTGGGATTGTAAGCGCCTCTGTATTCTTAAAGACCTTTAGGGTATCTGCATTCTCTGTTTTACCTAACTTTATTATTTTCCTTGACTTTTGGAGTCTCATCATCATACCGTCTCCTTGTTCTCTCTCCCTCTGAGACATATTTCCTCTGAGAGATATTTCCTTTGAGATATTTCAGACATACAAAAACATATAAATAAGAAATACTCATATACTACTTACTACCTAGTAGTAAGTAGTAAAAACATAATACTAAAATTTATTTATCTTTGAGAGAAGGTCTCATGTATCCCAGGCTGGCCTCCAATCCTCTGTGGCCGAGGATGGTCTTGAGCACCAGATCTCTCAAGCGCTGGCGTTACAGGTAGCCACCACAGCTTCTTTTTCAAACATTTAATTCTAGCAACTTAAAGTTTATTGTGATACACAGGTGGGTAAAACTACTCTCCCCAAGTGTTAGTGTGCTATCACAAGACCACTCACCAGCTTTGAAACAACTTGTTAAACATTATTTCTAGTTGGGCGTATCCCTCAGGCCTGTCTTGTACGAACTGTGTTGTTGTGATTAAGGCAGTTTTGCTTTCAAACACATTTTGCTATGCGGACTACAATACCTTTTCCAGAACATTGAGAAAAAGGCTAGTCCTTTATTTTTCACAATAAATTTTAGAATTACTGGGTCAAACCTTAAAGTTATTTTCAGTTTGCTTGCCTTTTGACTGGAATTAGTTTAGGACCCATAAATTAAGTTGGGAGGGCATGCGGTTTCACTGTTGAGGTTTCTTTTGAAGAGCATGACATCTCTAGATAGATGGGTGCACACAAAGGGAACACGTTCTAGGGCTACAGACAGCTCAGGGAAGGACAGTGAGGAGCGAAGAGGCCTGGTCTCAATCTCAAGCAACAACGTGTAATGAAATGGGGTTAACTTCTAAGTACGGCCATCTCTCTGATGGTGAGAGATTTAAGGCCCTCAGACAAACTGTGTTCCTCTGCAGTGAGTCAGGAACAGGTTCCACCCGCTTAGGCTCAGGGCGTAGTACAATGACTCAAGGGCAAGAGCAGGTGCACATTCCAGAGTGGAGGTGGGAGGACAGTGACGGAACCAGCACTCACTCACCCTCTGGGCCACGACCAGCTCCTGCTGCTCCGCCCACTCCTGCTGCTGGGCTCTCAGCAGGGCCTTGAACTCTGCAAGCGTGGGCAGCTCCTGTAGCCAGCGACTGCGGGCATTCTGCACAGCTGTTTCCACCTACAGGAGATGACAGGAGTGGTATGGCAAGGGTAAAATTTCCCAGGGCCCAAGTTCACAGCAGCATCTCTGACCTCTTGTGTACTTTACATTGTGCCTCCTTAGGTTACTGCCACGTTGACTCTACAGCACACAGTAAAGCAGGAAATGGGAACTGTAGCTGACGAGCAGCGCAGTCATCAAAAGCGTCACACAAAGTAGGCCAGAGGGTCCCCTAGGGCCTGCTGCTATCAATCACTGTACCCACCATCACCTCGCTCATGTGCAATCTGCCACATGCCAACCACCGCACTAAGCCAGGAGGGAGTTTTACAGCCTCAGTGCCAGCACACCTTGCTGCTGTCAAGAGTGAATATGAACATAAAAATGCACATGACCCTTGAGGTTCAGGAAAAAACTCTAAGTGTGATGAACTCTAAGGGTGATGTGGTTATAATTTACCACAAATTACACAGGCATGGCTTAATAAACTCTCCTCCTTCTGTCTTTTAAAACACAGATATACACATACCAATGCAGAGGGGACACAAACACTTTCCAATGAAAGTACTAATTGCACGTGCATATAAACTCTAGGTTAAAATATGGCCAGAAGATAAGAGTTCCTACAGAAATTTAAGTCCTTCTAAAGACATTTCCTCCACATTGTTAGCTTTTCTTAGGTTTCTTCCTAAGTTCTAAAATTTCCTACATACCAAAAAAGCACTCCTAAACACTTCTCTAAGCAACATTTTCTTAACCTTAGTAAAGACTTCAAAAGATTGCTGGCTTGTGGACTCACTACATAGACTAGGACTCACCATGTAGACCAGGCTGGCCCGTGGCTTACTATATAGACCAGGCTGGCCTGTGGCTTACTATATAGACCAGGCTTGCCTGGAACTTGTGGTAATCCTCCTGTCTCTTCAAGCGCAACACCAGGCCCAGTTTCAGGGAACTTTGGCTGATGGAAGGTGTCCTTGAGATGTCACAGATGTTTATCTGCCTGTGTTTCCCGACTGTAAGAGCCTACACTATCATGAAGAACACAAACTGCTAGTCCACGCCACCAGCTCCGGGGGGCCTCTTCAAGTAAAATATCCGAAATGATATATGTGTAACAGATTTTTTTAAGACATTACCTGCTTTTTGCACTCTGTCTCTCATGCATAAATAGTGCAGCTCTCCTGGAGAATCACTGCACCAACTAAGCTAGATATAAAAGAATATGCCATCTTTATCTGTTAGCACGCTCTATGCTTTCCTAAGCACAGTCTTGCTTTGAAGATGTTTCACCCCTCTTTAAAGCGAGGCTATGAGCACTTTGAGAGAAAGGCAATGGCACCACTTTTTGGCCAGTGATGGGAATTACAAAGCTCCACCTTGGGGGCACACCTGCAGACCCAACTCTGCATAGAATTTCAACACTGATGCTGTTAATCTTAATCTAAAATTACTATTAAAAATACATTAGTGGAATATATTCTATAAAACTAATATGAAACATTCTTAACTTGGACGTTAAAAACACCCCACACAAGACACACACATACACACACAGACACACAGAAAGAGAAAGAGAGGGGGGCATCCTAACACTTAGATCTCAGAAAGCAAACTTTTTGAAAATGCAAAAAAACACAGAAAGTTTTATAACAGAAATGAAAAAAGTCTGAGATAACCACAGCAGTTTTTCTATTCTAGAAATGCGAAAACATTTAACGTGTCAGGTTGCAACCCAGCATTCCCCGGGTTTTCGTTAACTAGCAAGCCCCAAAGTCCAGCCCATGGGTGGTGTCTGTCACCTGTTGTGCGATACTCTCACAGTGCTTGAGCTCCAACTCAACCTCCAGCTTCCTCAGAGCCTCCTTGACAGCGAGCTCCTTCTCCTGCTGGCCTTGGCAAGCCTGCCCGTCAGCCGGGACCGCTGCCTCTGCCTTAGAGACGGCAGCCACCTGGTCGGTCTGGCTGCCATGGTCTGACGTTGCCTTCCTCAAAGCCTTTACACTGTGATTCACTTTGGACCACCACTCCTTTTCCAGCTGCTGAATGAGTTTTTGTCTGCTCTGTTTTTAGAAGAAATGAGAAAAAAAAAAAAAAAACAGACAAAACACTGGAATGAAGTAAAAACTAGAATTAAAGTTACTCAAAAAAGCAACTACAGGTGCACTTAAAACCTTGGCGTTGCGGAGAGCCCCGACACTGCAATGCAGTTGTCATCATAAAGCTCAAGGTCACAATCTCACAAATTATCTCATGTTCCAGGTAGGTTTCAAATTCTGCACAGTGAGTGCACGTGTCCTGCCACAGCCACTGGACACACATGATAATTACTATGTAGTACTCATATAAGGGTTAAAGCTTAGCCCACAAAAATACACTCTCAAGCAACAGAATTTTCTCTTTGGCTTTAGCTACAGAACAGAATTAGCATGAAGACTTAATTATAGCATTAAGCGTAGACTACCTCAGGGTCAGTATGGACTTAGAACCTCTGATTCTGCTGCTGTAGAGATGTCACAACAAAAACTAACACGATTGTTTGCTACTGACTTTGAAGTGTCTTCTCAATAACACTTTCTACAAAGCCAGCACTGAGTTTACATTGAGCAGTATAAAAATAGTCTCACTGACTGGAGCGCCCTGGAATCTTACTCACTATAAACTATGGTTTACCAAGTAGACTGTACCCAGAGGGAGGCGTTAGGGTGAGAACCTCTTCGTGATTTCTCACTCTCAGCAATGCAGTGGCATGGTCTAACTAGTCTTGGGCAAAACTATAAAGTAGCCAGATGGCCTTTCCTTTTTGCCTGTTCCCATCTGCTGAATATCTGGAGTTCTGTAAGTACTTCCTGGCCACCAAACTAACAGAATAGGCAAGCTCAACGGCAGAATCTAGCTTAAACAAGCTAGAACTCTGTTTTTGTTGTTGCTTTATTTCTAAGTGTTTAAGATCATACTCTGGTCCTTAAACGTCTAAGAAACTAGGTAGGCAACATGCCTTTAACCCCAGTACTTGAAGGCAGAGGCAGAACAGTCAGCTAGCCTAGTCCACATAGCAAGTTTCAGGCTGCAAAGTGAGATCCTGTCTCAAAAAGGAGGCAGAAGAGAAGACAGGTACCACATGCTGGTGAGACAAAGGGAAGCCATGCACACCCCGGGCAGAAGGGTTAAGCTCAGTTCAGCCACTGTGGAAGCCAGTGTGGAGGTTCCTCAGAAACTGAAAACAAAGCTATGAAAAGGCCAGGCGAGGCCACTCCTGGATGTTTACCCAAAACACCCAAGACAGCACGTGCCAGAGACACTCACACAGCCATGTTCACTGTCTTGCTGCATATGACAGCTACCTATAGACTCAACCTAGATGTCAGCAGCAGGGTGACCAACAAAGATGCAATTTACACACAACAGCGTTCTCCTAGTCATACAGAACCAAGTTTCAGCATTTGCAGGAAAGCAGATGCAGCCGAAGATTAAGGACACCCAGCACATCAAGTTGGTCTCAGAAAGATAAATAGGTTCTCTCACCTGTGGGTCTTAGAATTCATAAAGGTGCATACCATCCAGTGTATGCGGGCAGCATGAAAGTACAAGTCAGACCATGAGGGAACAAAAGGAACTAAAGGGACAGGCAAGAAGAGGGAAGTCAAGCAGGGCGTGGCGCTGGCTGCTGAGGCCATTCTTATACTAGCATGAAAATGGCCTAAGCAACACACTATGCTTTTCATTAACTAAATTAATTTCTTAAAGTTTGTGGTGCTGAGTCTGCCCATCACTTTTCTTCTAATCCAATACATGAATTATTTCTGTCTATAACTACATAATTAGAGATACTGGTGTAGACTTATTCCAGTCATTTCAGAATAGGAAACTAGGCCATAGTTCCATTTCTAGGAATGAAAGAAATACCCAAAAAATGTATCTCCTGAATCTGGATACAGATCATGGAGTACTTTTAAAAAGTCAAAGTGGTATGATGGGTGCTGACAGCCAGATTCTGAGACACACAGATGGCTATCTACACATTTGCTAACTAATGATAAGTCCCAAGTTCAAGAAGAATGATCTAGAGTTATTAATAGAGTGACCAGAAGTCATGTGTAGTGTCTCCTTCCTTTAATCCCAGCATTCAGGAGGCAGAGGCGGGCAGAGCTCTGTGAGTTTAAGGCCAGGCTGTTCTACATGGCAAACTGCAGGCCAGCCAGGGCTGGGAAAATAAAATAAATAGAGTGACCAGAAGCAACTCCGACCAGCCCCTTTCTTCCAGTTATCCCGGTGAGCTCCAGGGACATCACCTCTTTCTCGGCCTGCTCTTGTTCTTTCAGCCAGTTCTGTTTTTCCGTCTTTAGAGTTTCGCGGTACTTCTCTTCGAGTTCTAGCTTCAGTTTGCCTACACATTCTTCTCTGTCTTCCAAAAGCTGTTTCTGTAAATGAAAAAGTATCTCTGGAGTCTTAGCGGTCACCATGTTAAAATGTTTCAGTGTGGGTGGAGGCAGGATGAGGGCTTCAGGGTCACTCTTGTCTTCATAGCAGGTTCAAGGCCAATCTGGGCTACAGTGTAAGACTATCTATAAAAAAACAGAAGAGCACACGTGGCACGAACCTTGTCCTGCTTATTTCATAAATTCTGTATGAGCTCCCTACCTAACACTCACATCAGAGATTGTCTCCCTATTTTAGTATTTATATAATCACTGAAAGCTAAGGTCTCAACTTCTAAGTAATCTTAACTCCTTGGTAACTCTGTAACTAACACTACCTAACACTGCTCCTTTCAAGAATTTTCCTGAGTGACATGTACACATGGCACGCTTTCCATCATGTTGATCTACTGAAATATAACCAAAATGTCACATGAATTGAACACCCTATCTGCTCATCACTGCCATTTGCAATATGTGATGGAAAGCCTTGCTTTAAGATGCGATATTCAGAATGTCTGGACAGAATATTTAGTCAAGGTTCTGCATCTAGTCTCTAGCTTTGAATCTTTCAGACTGTGGCCTGCAGGCTGGTCCAAGCAAGGAGTCAGACCTCCAGGACAATAAAATGACAATTGTCTACGGGGAGTACAACGGGTGTAAAGGGAAAGCCACTGATGGCACACAGTGTGCAGCACTCATGGCCACTGCTGGCACGCTGGGTGCGGTGCTCACAGCTGCTGAAGACACACTGTGTGCAGTGCTCACGGCCACAGGCCACAGGCCACTGCACTCTCGTGCACATACCCACAGAGACACACGCACATACACATAATTAAAAAATATAAAATAAACCATAAATTAAAATTTTTAAATGTGATTTCCCCCCATCAGGTCACCCTCTCTACGGAGATTTTAATAACAATTTCAATATTTTTTAATTTTGGGAGCTGAATTTGTTTGACATAACCAAAGAAGAAGGCCTCTTTCAACACTCTGCTAGTGTGAACGATGGAGGCGTGAGAGGGAAGTGGCAGGAGCAGCCTACCTTCTGCTCCTGAGCCTTTTCCACGGTCTTCCTGAGAGCGGACTCTAGCTCACCCTTCTCTCTGCACACTGCCAGGTAACACTCCTGCACGGCGGCCATCTCCTTGTTCTTCTTATCAAGGTCAGACCTCGGAGACACAGAAGTGGCAAGTAAGGGAGTGTGTGCACACACATACACAACTTCTGCATAACAAACTGCTTCCTCTAAGTCCCTGAGGAAACAGGCAGCAGAGGCCCCATTACCTGAGCTGTGACTGGGTCCCCTCGTAGACTTCGAAGAGTTGCTGCTTCTCCGCAGTGTGTTTCGCTAGAAGACTCTCTCGGATCTGGGCCTTCATGGCTTCGTGATGCTGCTGGTAAGTCCTCTCACACCTAGAGAGAGAGGGGCGCTAGAGCTATGCAGCACCAGGGCAGGAGGAACTGTCTGGCCGGCTAGCCTGCCTGCCCCGCCAGCCTGCTTGCCCCCTCATTTTTCATTAAGGCAAATTATAATTACATCAGACTGCTTCCCCCTAACCAAAATCAAGAGTAGTTAATTTAAAACCAGTGGTCTTCACAGGAATCTTCACACTTTTCTTTCTTCATGTTTTTAGAGAAAATTGGACACTTGGGTGTGAGAATGTCCCAGTACTTCAAACCGAAGAGTCAGCCTACACCGAGGTCTGCCGCTTATAAAGAAGTAACTGTTTAACTGAAGTAACTGAGAAATGGTCCCCAAATTCAAATCAAGCATGTCTAATACACAAATACCAGCGGTGTACGAACTTACAAATCATCTTCCAAAGAGCTCTTTACAAATCTATAACTCTGTGCTTGGAGGACAAAGCCCCTCCGTTTCCCAGATGAGCCTTTAGAGACAGCTCTAGTAGTTCAGTGAACTGCAGTTGTGACAAACTAGAGTTCGCCTTCCACATAACACTGTCAGTGCTCCACACTGTAATTCAGGAAACAGGGGCTGACCTCTGCCGATCGAAGATCTCCACAGAGAGAGTTCACTCCATTTCGGGGAAGGGGGCTACAAGGGTTAAAGACTGGGCTATATCCAGGGAGTTGACCCAGGAGAAAGTAATGGGCACCAACACAGACTCACCTATTCACCGCTTCCTGCTTGTCTCGGTCGAAGTCTTGCACCATCTGTCTCATCTGACTACACAAGTCCTGGTTTGCACTCTTCAGTTTTTCTTCCGCTTCTCTAAATTCCTGGACACAGAACGGAAGGTTACAGGAAGGAGATCACATGCACTCATCAGCCTGCCATCTCAAGGCCCTTGGCCCTACAACATGATCTGATGCGGTCTCTCCTTCGTAGTTCTACAAAAGATAAAGCCTTTTCACACCTTAGTGACACAGACGTATTTCTGTGTAACTAGTATTCTAATAGGTAAGTAGCAATTCTAAATCTTGTATTTGTTTTGAGATGTATTAGATGGAAATATTTAGCCAGAAGTATTAGCTAACTGATACCTTAAAATTAGTCTTAGAATTCAATAATAGTCATCTAAACAAACAAAGTTTTACATTTGGGCTAAGAGAAGAGCAAACCTATTGGTCAGGTTACCACATGGAACAGGAATGACTTCGCCTTCTACTAGAAGCACCAGGAAGAGAAACCGCAGGAGCCCACAAGTCCATCTGGAGCCATGTCCACCTGCTACCACTGCCTGTGTGTGTTACATAAGTCTGAGCTACCTCTGCAGTCAATAAGGCCATTCAAACCTCTCGTTAAGGTCAGGACATTTATTCACCTGATTCTGCTGTCGTAAAACTTGAACTTCATTTTTCAGTCGTAGAATATCTTCTCTGACAATTGCCTCAGAAGAATCAAGCCATAACTGATTAGGTGTTTTGTCAGAGGTATCTGTTTTAGTCTGAAAGTTTAAAATGGTTTCACATTTAAAATAAAACAAATAAACATTTACATTTTGCAATAATTTCATTTAGGAAAAAAATGTGCTTTGGGTAGTGCAATGATTTTCAGTTACTGAACGAGAGGGGAAGGAGATGCTAGCGGTTCTTTCACCTGCGTTCTGTGGTGCGCCCAGAGTGGAACCTGTTTGTTTATGTAACTCTGTGTCCCCTTCCATCTGAACGTTTCCATAGTTAGAAGTTCCTTCCTCTCTAACGGAGAATCAATACGTCTATCCACTCAATTTCTGAAAGTACCTGAAATCTATCCCACAATGTTATGTGGTCACAATCATAAGAAAACTAACACAGACTGTTCCAAAGAAGGGCGCTGTTGCCTGACTACATGACCACATGGTTAACAGGCTTCCTCAACTGCTTTGCCAAAGGAATTTCAGAGACTGTGAGCCCACGAGATAGAGAAATGCTGCAGGCAGACCTCACTGGGCTATTCTGGTAGAATATGGGCACACCAGGAGGCTAACAGAAATTTAGACAGTGAAGCTGGCTCTCTGGGTTTCAGCTGGCAACTGGTCCACAAGGCCATTCGTGGAACATTCTAGAAAAGAACCCATTTGCATTCTGTTGTGTCCTGAGAATTTGAGTGAGGCTAAATTTGAAAGCAATGGGCTAATCTGTGGGAATCACTTTGAGGAAGACTTTTTCAGAGATCACAGCATCTGGGCTGAGGAATGGTTCCTGCTCAGGGATCTGCTCTGTTCGCAGGCAAGTACCTAGCAAAGAGCAGGCGAAGCAGAAAGATATTTAAAATGTGCAGCTTGGTGGGGAAAGGAGTGTGAACAAACTTAAAGTTGCAGACGTGGCGGGTGTGGGAAAAACAACTGTAACTATTAAGATATTATTAGATGGACCTCACACTCCTCACTGAGCATGTCTGAGTTAGGAGTTTAACTGAGCGTCAGAGGTAAATGTTATGATTAAAACTGATGTGTCTGTGTCAAGCTGAGAAAGGGTGGAACGAAGACTGTTACACTGAACCATCAACTTCAAGGTGTCTAGAGTCAGGGGCTGACACACCTCTGGAAGTGTCTGTGAGAACCCCTGGACAGAGGTGACGACAGTTGATGGACCGCAGACGGGGAATGAAGTAAAAGGAAGAGGAAGCCAGGTGACTGCCAGCGCACAGCTCCCTCTGCTTCCTGTGATGGCATCCGTGACCAGGCACGTCACCTTTCCTACCAACTCCGTCCCTTCTCCACCACAATGAACCACACCCTTTAAAACTCACCCTTCTGAAATTGCTTCTTGTCAAGGGTGGTATACAAACCCCGTATGTTAGGGCTGACCCCTCACCAGCCACTTTTTGTTAGCCCACGGACGAATGTGCACACTCACATGAGCACACACATACAAAAGAAATTTCCTGGGGATCACACACAAAAAGCTTTCTGTCTTTTGTTTACAAAGAATTCAGTATATGGACTCTAACTGTTGGTAGGTTTTCCTAAGACCTTTCCATATTCTATCTTTAATACGTATATAAAATATAAATTTTATATATTATGTTTATTGTATATGTGTGGAGGTGTATGCGCACGTGTGTATGTGTGCATGTATGTGCAATGCCCAAAGAGTCCACAGGAGGGCATTATATCTCATGAGGCTGCCCAACAAGAGAGCTGGGAACCAAACTCAGATCCTCTATCTCTCCAACCCCACTACATTCTGTCATAACCACACAGTGGGTCAATTGGAATGAAGGGCGTACCTGATCTACACTCAAACTCTGCCTGATGCTGCACACGGCAGTCTTCTAATCTCTACCCTAGATTAGCCTGGAAATGCCATCCAACAGCAGGCTTTGACTGCTTGTTTCGTTTGAGACGGGCTCTCACTGTGTAGCTCTGCCTGGCCTTGAGCTCTCTACGTAAACCAAGCTGGCCTGAAACTCAGAGTTCATCTGCCCACCTCTGCCTCCCAAGACTGGGACTAAAGGTGTGCACCACCACATCCAGCAGAATCTTTAATAGAAACAGTTTTGGTTTGTTTTTTTTTTGTTGTTTTTTTTTTTTTAAATGTAGATGTGTGTGAGAATTCTGTAATTTTGGATTCTTTAAAACACACACACACACACACACACACACACACACACACAAAACAATACATACCCCCATACCTGGATTAGAACAGTTACAGTTTTAACCCCTGGTGTGTGGCTATGGGACTGCAAACACCAGCTACGTATATGTTGTTGCAAAGTGCTACATTGTACATGGCTCCACAAACCCAAACTACCTTCCAAATAGTAATGTGTGCCTTATACTTCTATTATCAGTGAATGCCACAAAATCCCACACATCGTATCTTTTCAAAAACAAAACTGAATAGCAACTGTTTCCTCTCTCTGCACAGACTTCCCAATGCTTTTCAATCATGCTTTCTAACTCCACAGGCTAATTGAAAGTTCTGTAATAACGATTTGGGAAAGAAGAGTCCACGCAATGCTCAAGGGTAAAGCACTCATCATATCATATACTATAGTCCAAATTTGAATATTTAAGAAAAACAAACCAACTTTCTTTTATAGTACCAGAAGTTACTCTACAGAAGAGGGAGGGAGAGGCAACAGTCCCACTCAGCTGCAAACACTGCTAACTACAGTATTGATTGTTATGGCAAGAGATGTCCACGTGGGCAATGGTGACACAAATTTCATGGGGTAACCAACTTTTTTTATGACACAATAATTGGCATCTTAGAACATCTCACATACTTTGACAGGATTTGTCAATGAACAGGACTCCCAGCATAAGAACCAGGAGATAAAAAAAGTAATAGTCACATTAAAACTTACTTACCTTTAGGAGAAAAGGAATATACTCCCCGCATCCCTTTTAACCTTCCATATCCTTTTCTTAACTATCAATTCATTTCTGCATTATTTTTCTTAACTGTACAGATGGTGAGTTTGTGAAAAAGAGGGAAAAAAGTTGCTTTCAAGATCAGTTAGCTGGGCATGGTGGCACATACCTTTGATCATAGCGCCTGGGCAAGCAAAGGCAGGTGGATCTCTGAGAGTTCCTCTGTGAGTCCTCTGTGAGGAAAGCCAAGGTTACACAGAGAAACCCTGTCTCAAAAATATAAAAGCAAAAACAAAACAAAAAACAAACAAATAATTAAAAAAAAAAAAAGCAAAAAAGAAAATAAAAGAAAAAGTCTGGTGACTGGAGCTCCAGCGATAGCCCTGACCCATCTCAGTCATGTAGCGCATCTTCAGTTTCCTGAGGCTGATAACATAAGATGGGTCACAGACTGCCCTTCATTTTCCTCATCTGCACACCTGAGCATGGGAGCACACTCAGGGGCACAGACAGAGGATTACAACTTGAAGGCTAGTCTCAAAATTTAAAAGACACAACTCAGAAGTGAGTATCAACCAGTGCTATATACCCATTTCCTCAGAGACCAGCTCCTGTAACAGGGCAGGGAAAGCTCGGGAGTAGAGCCTCGAAGGGATCTCACTAGAGGGTTTGAAGGCACGGCTGACTAGAACCAACCCTGACAAAATGCACACACCCTTTTAAAAAGTATTCCTCTCATTGATACCCCAACCAAGGACCATGCATGGAGATAACCTAGAACCCCTGCACAGATGTAGCCCATGGCAGCTCAGTGTCCAAGTGGTTCCCTAGTAAGGGGAACAGGGACTGACTCTTTGACTGCCCCCGCCCCCATGGGGAAGCAGCCTTACCAGGCCACAGAGGAACACAAGGCAGCCCATCCTGATGAGGCCTGATAGACTAAGGTCAGATGGAAGGGGAGGAGGACCTCCCCTATCAGTGAACTTGGAGAGGGGCATGGGAGGAGATGGAGGAAGGATGGGATTGGGAGGGGAAGATGGAGGGGGCTGCAGCTGGAATACAAAGTGAATAAATATTAATATTTTAATATTAAAATTAAAATTTTTAAAAAGCTAAAAAAAAAAGCACTCCCTTTCATTTGTGAACAAAGAAATTGCTTAATTGGCATCTCATTTACTAGGTGCCAAGAACAAGCCAAAATATATCCTATCAAGTGGTTTTTTTCCTGGAAGCTTTACTTCTAGGAGTCAAATCAACCCCAGGAAACCAAGAACTTAACTTACATCTACAAAGCGTAAAGGTTCTCTATACTGCATGTTTCAAAGGGGCTTCTTAACTGTACAGCTTCCACAGACCTCACCTCCATGCCTTTGTCACCATCCTTCGACTGCTGGGGAGCTTCCGCTGTTCCACGGCACTCTTTGAGGTCTCTCTGTAGCTGAGACACCAGATGCCGCTTCATAGAGTTGCTACTCAGCAAGCGCTGAACTTGTGTTTTCAACTTCAGGATAACCTCATCCTTTGAAAGCTCTTCATGTGGGGCTTCTTGCTGTGCATTGCTGATGGAGAAATGTTTGGCTTAGCATTAAATCAAGCAACAAATCAAACACGGTTATTCCTTAAAGTCCTACCCACATGGTGATCGTGTTTTTACACCTTTACAGTCACATCATTTTGAACCAAGTTTATTTTCAACACTTTGCTTCTTTGTTTTCAGGTGCCTCATATATGCTAGGCAAGTATTCTAACACTGAGCAACATGGAAACTCTGCTAACGAATTTGGGGGGCTGGAGAGAACTTGTTGCTCTTCCAGAAGACCTGGATTCAATTCTTGGCATCTTGGTGGGTCACAACCATCAAACTCTAGCTTCAGAGGATCTTGTGCAGGCACTCAATGTATTGCACACACAAACATGCAAGCAGAACACCAATACACACAAAACAAAAACAAGTAAGTTGTAACTTTGTCATATACAGGGATATCACCTTTGCACAAAAGTAAGTTCATTCCTCAGAAGACACTTCCCTCCTTAGTCTTTCTGCCTAGATACAAGCACTTTAACTCTGATATAGTTCACACTTGTGATTTTTGGTATGTGTCATGCTAATACTGAAAAAGGCAATACAGACATTGAGGAAGAAAAAATAGCAAACATCAGCTATCCTAACCAACATCTACTGTTCTTTTCCAACTGCAGAGCAACCAGAAATCTAAAACAAAAACCATGCTAATCTAAACTCCTTTCTCTCTTTCCTCCTCTCTCCCTTTCCCTTCCCTTTCTCTCCAGTAATAAGGGCTGACCCTAGTGGTCTCGTGAATGCTCCCCAAATGCTCTGTTGCTGAGCTGTAGCCAGCCTTTAAACTCAACTCTATTTTCAATAAGCTTAAGGCTTAGAATGAGAGTCTAATTTTTAAAAGTAATTTTAATGTGTGTGTGTGTGTGTGTGTGTGTGTGCGCGCGTGCGCGCGCGCCTGTGTGTCTGTGTGATATGACAGGACCTCTGCCCTCATGAGGTCTCAGCAGCTATTGCTGCCTATAAAAGACCTACACAACCCAGCCACAAAACCTTCAACCTACAGTTTGTCCTGCCTGTAGAGTGTTTTGGGACTGGAGCCTAGCACAATCATCATCAGAGAGACTTCTTCCAGCAACTGATGGGAGCAGATGCATAGTTCCATAGTCAAACATTAGGCAAAGTTCAGGGAGTCCTAAGAAAGAGGAAGAAAAAAGGTCGGAGGAACAAGAAGGGTCAAGGACACCACAAGAACATCTAACTAGTCAGCCATATATATATATGCAGAGGGCCTACATCAGACTCCCACAGGCTTCCTGATCTCTCTAAGCCCCTATGGATCCCAGTCAATTGATTGTGTGGGCCATGTTCTTGTGGAACTAACAGTGGCAATCGGGGCTATCTCTAACTCTTTTGTCTATTTGTGGGACCCTTCTCCTCCCACTGGGTTGCCTCATCCAGCCTGGCTGTGATGGTATGTGCCTGGTCGTGTTGTAGCTTGTTATGCTGTGCTTGGTTGAAGTCCATGGGAGGCCTGCTCTTTTTTGAGGAGAGGCAGGGGGTGGGGAAGGTGATGGGAAGAGGAGGAAGGGGAAACTACAGTCAGGATGTAATATATGAGAGGATTAAAAAAAAGACAAAATTAGGAGGAGATAAGGGTAAGCGGTGGATATGAGAGGAGTTAGGGAGGAGTAAGGATGAAAATGGTCAAAATATACTGTATAAATATATTATGTTTTAAAGAAAAAGAGCTACAAAGATGAAGCCAGTCACCATTGCAGCAGGAAGAGGAGGGAGCGCTTCTGAGGTCCCCACTCTTAGCTGATGGCTTCTGGGGAGAGAATCGTTTTCTTTAAGGGTACTGACCCTGGTACATCCATCAGCGGACGGCCCTCCTCCTGAGTATACAGCCAACACAAATTAGACTCTGTGGATTATTTAGCACAAAAACAAAACACAACAAAAATACAAAGCAACAAGATGGAGTGGATCTAGAAAGCACTGTGGGGAGAAGTAGAGAAGACAAATATAATCAAAATACATTGTATGCAAGTATGAAATGCTCAACAGAAGCGTCTTTTTTTAATTGAAAACAGTCATATAAGTTTCTAAACTACAGTTTCATAGTGGCTAGCACACACTCTAAAATCACAGACATTGGGTAAAAAGTAAGGACAGCCAAGTAAGCCTCGAACATTAGTGATAATGTAAACATATTGGTTCATTAATTTTAGCAATTAATACAAGATGTTAATAGGGAGGCACGGGAGCTGAGTATAAAGAACTGTGTAAAATGTCAATCTCCGTTTCCAAAATCTTCTAAAAAAAGAAAAACCTATCTAAAAAAGAAATAATATCTGATTTAAAGTTTTCACTCTTGAAATTGAAAGATTTCAGATTATTTAAATGAAATGTTAGAATATCATGTATGTGTGAAGAGAGAATGACTCGATCATTAGGTTAATTTATTTTTAACAATATAAACAAAGCTCCTTAGGATGGATATATTATATACACATAGATTTATAACAATATCCATAAATATATTCTGCATGTGTTTGCATAAATAAAACCTTGCCTATTTAAATCGTTTCCATTTCTATAGGGATGTAACTATGACAGATACAGTTATGTATCTCTGCTATATGACGCGGTGAACCATGAGCCCTCAGTTTACTCAGCTAGCAAGTGAGGCCCCCTGGTTCCTCTTCTGACTGAACACAGGCCACTGAGATAACACTCTCTGTACTCTTAGAGGAAGCCAGAGCAGAGAGCAGAGAAAGTGCTTATGAAATAATTTCTCTCCTTCCTCTAAAGGAAAGAGTCTGAGTGTTGACCACACTGCCCAAGGATCAGAGTACCCTATGGAGACTAGTTTTCTGGAACCCAAATAAAACTGTAGTCTCTTCTGCGGCCTGCGGAGAAGACCAAAGGAAAAAGGCATTCCGTTGTTAAATGTTTATTGTTTGGGCTTCGCAGCCAACTATAATAACGGAGAGGAAGCCTACAGGCTGTGGCGATTTAGCCTCTCAAATCCCATCAATGAAAAACAGAACATTAAGGCTAAACCCTTTACTAGGCAGCAGCCTACAGGCGTGGTGATTGGTAGCCAAAGCCGAGAGCCGCTGATTCCTGAGTCAATGATCTCAAAGCTGCTCAAGTCAAGAAAAAAAGTAACTCACACTGGGAAAATTTGCTTCCTTTCATTCA